GCTTTTCCTATTTATTCCCACCGTCATTTTTCCTTGATTCTTACATCCATCTTTCGTTCTCGGTGACTTAGCTAATTTTATTTACATATTTTCTTACTTTAATTATTCTAATTTTCTTTTTGAATTGTTTCTTTCTTGCGTTACTTTTTCTTCTGTCGTTCAATTTTTTCGTAGTGTAATTCAAATTTATTTTTCCTTTTTTATGTTTATCTTATTTTTCACCTTTTTGATTCATTCTGGATTGAATTTTTTCTTGCTTCCAGTATAATCCATTTTTCTCTACCTCATTTGCTTTATTTTATTTTTTCTATGCTATCTTTAGCCCAGGTACGTGTTCGTTTGGGTGCACGTCGTGGTTTTATTTGTCGTATGCGTTTTGGCCACAACCTTTCTAGCTCAGGACAACCTCCGCGTACAAGTATTTGCAATCCTACCTCTTATTTGCTTCAGCAGTCGCATTATAATCACACTCGCCATCAACAACGCTACGTATCTAGTACTTCTACTGCGGTCTCTACTCCCTTGCCTGCTGTCGATTTTACGAACGATGCTCCTGGTGATAACATCAATAACCTTGACACCATCACAAGCTCTGGCGGATCGATAGAGGCCATGGCGCCCCCAGCATTTGCCCTTGTGCATGTCACCGGCTTTGTTAAGTCTTGGCCTGTTAACAATAGCTCATCAGCTCATCAAACCAATCAATTCCACTCATTAACAAATGGAAATGCACTCGCCGCCCCTAATCAAGGCGCAAGAAGCTCTTATTCTGCTAATCAGGGCGTTCTCTCTCTGCTAGGTGAGGATATATCTAACTATTTATATTGAGTACCAAGAGAGAATTTATACTCGTGATTTTGTTATGTCTTTATCTGTTAAACATATTTTGTTAAAAGACCAACTCGCTGTTGACTACGTTCTTTTCTAGAAACATGTCCATATCCCAAATCCATGGAACTTACTCCTATTTTGTTCCATGGTCAAATTATTTTACTTCCCCAATACTTTATTTAATGCTTATGTAGCACAGTGGTTCCCAAACTTTTCCTAGTCGCGGCGCCCTTTTTCAATTACAATTTTTTCATGGCGCCCTACCCTAAGTATGACTATTCGTACGTAAGAGATAAAAATAAATAAAACTCGGGTATCTTCATTATTTTTTTTATACTTTTAAACATAAAATTAATATCTAATAATTAATGTGCAAATCACTGCACATTTTATCAAATCGTGGAATTAAACTGGACACGGCCACCCTCATTTCCTTTTCCGCGTTGATTTTTGCTCTATAC